GCAAGAGTTTGGTCGTGCTGGACTCCCAGACCTAAGCAGTATGACTGAGGAAGAGCAGATTGCATATGCCATGCAGATGTCCCTCCAGGGAGCAGGTGAGCCAGGGCCTGGGGATGGGTCTTAGGCAGACAGACTGGGTGAAAACTTAAGTGAAACTGAAAAAACTGATTTTTCCCCCCTCAGAATTTGGCCAGGCAGAATCAGGTGACATTGATGCCAGCTCAGCCATGGATACATCTGAGCCAGCCAAGGTAAGGACCAACAAAGACAGTAGACAATCCCACACGCCCACAAATCAGGCTTCACATCCCCTTTATTCAAGCTTCTGCCCTAAATTTCCTAGGTGATGTCTTTGAGGAACAGAAGTAAACATGTAGATACATATTTTAGGTGTAAACCTTGCTACAACAGCAAAATGTTTGAGTTCAGAGTTGGAGAAGTGTCCTGGGATTCTCTAATCTTCCTTCTTTGCTGGCAGAGCATTCTGACAAATCTCTAGGATAGCAGCTTCTAGGAAAATGAGAAGGGGTCTGAGGAAAAGAAAAAGGAAGAGTAAGTGTCTGATCTCAGGAAGCCTGACCCAGACAGCCTCTGTTTATTTAAGTTAAAGAAGCAGCATTCTTAGGCCTAACCCTAATTTGATTAATAAGAAATATTTGGATACATACAGTCAACACTGTTGGTACCAGCCGCCAGGAGATCAAAAAACTAATTACATTGGGAAAGTCTGCTGTCAGGGACCTCTCCAAGTACTGAAGAGCAGTGATATCAGTATGGAGACTAAGGTGCACCTACCTGAATCAGGCCATGGTCTTCACAATTATTTGCTATGCATCAGAGAGCTGGACAATAACTAAGGCAAATTGATGCCTTTGAGCTCTGGTGCTGGAGAAGAGGATTGAATATACCATGAAGTGCTAGGAAAACAGATTCATCCTGGAGAGGGTAAAACCAGTCTGCTTCTTGGAAGGAAGGATTCTGAAGCTTCATCAGACATACTTTGGGCATGTTGCAAGGAGGGACCAGTCCTTGGAGAGAGACATCATGCTTGGGAGGATGGAAGGTCAGCGCAGGAGAGAAAGACCCTGGACGAGATGGATTGATTCAGTGACTGGGGTAATGCGGGATAGGTGCGTCAGAGATGATAAGGTTGGCTCAGGATAGAGCAGGGTTCAGAGCTGTTGGACATAAGGTTGCTGTTAGTGGCAAGCGACTCGACAACACATACCACCATGTGTCAATGCTGAGTATGCTTCTAAATCTTCTTTCCCACCTTGGCCCAGAGGTGTCCCTCTAAATCCTCCTTAGTTGAAGAGGGGGGCTCAGGCAGCAGCATACTTATGTCTCACACTGCTCCCCCATCCACCCAGCCCCCTGCCTGAAGCTAACACTGACTGCTCTTTTTTCAGGAGGAAGATGATTATGATGTGATGCAAGACCTCGAGTTCCTTCAGAGTGTCTTGGAGAACCTTCCTGGTGTGGATGGCTCCCCACAATGAGGCCATTCGAAATGCCATGGGTTCCCTGGCCTCCCAGGCATCCAAGGAAGGCAAAAAGGACAAGAAGGAAGAGGACAAGAAATGAGACTGGAGGGAGCTTCTCCCGAAGCTCACGGGGATGTATAGGATGGAGTAGGGCAGGGCTGATAACACTGTCTGTAACTATTACAACCTAAATAAAATTTGGCAACTTTTTTTTTCTTTTTGCTTCCACTAGTGATGGTTTTGAGTGACAGCAGGAAGTGACACAGGTGCATTAACTTGATGAATTGACTGGGCTGAATCTTGACTGTTTCCATTTCCTCTCATCCCCATCAATGATGGTCTCTCCTCACCTGCCCTCAAAGTATTCAACTCTGTTGTTAAGCTTTGCTGAGAGCTCTTTGCTTTAGGCACTGGGGGCTACAGATGAATCGAAAACAGTACTGAGGGAGCTCTGGTGGCCAAGTGGCAAGAAGTTGCACTGCAATCCCAGAGGTATACGGTTCAAATCCACCAGATGCTCTGCTGGAGAAGGAGGGGCAATCTCCTTCTGTACCAGTCAGATCCGATTTGATGGTACACACGCACACACACAAACACCACCCAAAAACCAAAACCAGTACTAGCCTGGGGGAACCCAGGGTCTAGAGAAGAAGCCAGCATGTCTGGTCAGTGCTAAAAGAGAAGTGTGAAGAAAGCATGGGGACTTGAAAAGGAAGAACCAAATTCTGGCCTGGTGCCTGGAGGTAACAGTGGAGCTCTTGAAAGGATCAAAAAGTTCATCAGCAGATAAGGAAGAGATGGGCATGTTTCCAGACAGTAGGAACAGTGTGTTCTGGTGACAGGGCAGCACATTTCAGGAACTGAAGCTCCTAGGCTGGTTGGTCTGGTGGCAGAGCATCAAGGGGCAGGAATCCTTTAGTCCTGACTCACAAGGAGACCTGAGGTGGTGCATCTTCCTGCAGCATCAGATTTGAATGTCTCATGTATGTTATGCAATAGGCTGCAAAATTTACTTCTCCAAGTCACTCTGAAAAGAGGTAATTAATATTTGTGTTATGTTGTTACATATCAAAGAATTATATATATGAAGAAAATACATGGCAGTGAAAGCATAAGGAAATGATCACCTAGCAAAAATCACTTAACATAAGAGTTAGCAACCGTATGTAACCTCTGTGCCTTTTTGAACCTATCCCTCTGCATTCCCTTCAGAGACTGATTATTATTCTGAATTTGGTGTTTATTACTTTTCCCCCCAGCTTTAGTTTCTTCTTGGACCTCTGGTAGCCTAGTGGTAGGAAACTGTGCTGCCGTCCCAACAGCCTGCTCTGCGGGAGAAGGATGAGTAGTCTCCTCCCGTGCAAGGAAAATGCCTCTGAAAACCTGCTGGAGGATCAGCTGTAGGTCGGTTCTGTCTCTGGCTCACAACAGCAACAAGTTTCCTGATATGCACACAGAACCAGAGGATGTTTAGTTTTGCTTGGTTTTGAGCTGCTAAAATTATTTTTATTGTGTCTTCTGATACTTCTGTTTTTTTTTTTAAATCTGATTATGAGATTAATGAAAATTATTACATTCATTCATCCACTTTTCATAGTGATCTAGTGTTCTATTGTGTGAATACACCAGTCTATCCCTTTTCTTTCAGTTACTTATTGCAGCAGGGCTGGAATGGAACTTTTGTACATCCTTTGTGATGCACTTGTGCCAGAGCTTCTGTAGGAGACGTTACAAGATAATGCTAACTTGTTTTAAAAGTGCTTATACTTACCTGCACTCTTGTCTATCTGAGAATTCCACCTGACCACGACCTCTAAGTCCTTGGAATAATTAAGTCATCTTCATTTTTGCTGCCTTGGAAAAAGATACTGTGTTGGAAAGATAAAAAGTCAGCAAAAGAGGAAGACACTCAACAAGCTGGATGGACAGTGACTACGGTGACGTTACATGACGGATCATGACAACTGCCAAGGACAGGGCAAGGCTCAGATCTGTTATTCATAGGGTCACTGTGAGTGGTAATTGACGTGTTGGCCCCACCTAACAAGGATTACAGTTATAATTTATTGTGGCCTTAATTTGCATTTCCCTGATACAGGTTTTTGGAGGCTGTAAATTGCATGGGAGAAGACTGCTCATTTTTGTCCCAGGAGCTGCTGATTTGAACCAAGATTTTGGGCCATGATTCCATGAATTTTCATTTTCCATTATCCCAGAGTCTTGCCTTAGAAGTTTCCATAAAATGAAGCTGCAAAGCCTTTGTTTATTCCTAAATTCTATCCATATTATAACCACACCTTCCTTAACAATATGATTAGGTTCCAAAGACTAAGTCATTATGCAAAATTGGCATTGTGTACGGACATGGTGAAAACAAAGGCAGCTCCAGAGCCTGGGGCCTCAGAATCACCTCTGTGCTTTGGACCCTGGGGCTCTGCTGCTGTGGCTGGTGCTCTAGTGGATATGGAGTGTGCTGACTGGATAGAAGCCCAGGGGGCAGCTCTGGGTGTGGGAAACCGGCAGGGCTGTGTGTCAGGGTGGTGGTGGGGGCTGCTGCTCATGCTCCCTGATGTTGCCCCACAGACACACAAATGGGCAGCACACTGCTCATTTGGAATCTGATGCTGAGAACCTAGAGAATAACAACAGAAAAGGAGCTCAGCAGCCCAGATCACCCGGCAGGCTGCAAGCTCAGGCTACTTTCTTCAGGCCTCCGACTGCCTCCTGCAGGACAAGTTCTCTCAAAGTGCTTGAGTAGAGGAGAGTAGCGACAGCAACTACCCTGCTTTCTGGGCCCCTCTGGCCTCTCCACAACCTGTCTCAGGAGTGCTGCCTTAAAACCTCTTCAATCACCTCTCTGCAATGGTAGTGATGGAGATAGAACAAGTAAGAGGCCTTTGGACAACTGGCTGCTTCAGTGGTGAGCTTATTGGCATGCATAGCTGTCTCTGTAGCCTGGAAGCTGGGTAGAAGGAATCCCAAGTTGATGCACAAGAATAGTTGGATAGTAGAGTTTTTTTACTATTGTCATTAATTCAACATGTTAACTCATGAGATAGAAATAGATGTATTAAGTGAGTTCCACTTATATATAATGAATGTGTTCAGTGAGAGAGGAAGACCCTCTATGAAATGAACTGAAGTGGTGACTGCAGCAATGGGCTCAGATGGTGCAGGATAGGACAAGGCCCAGAACTATTGTTCATAGGGTCACTGAATTTCAGTAAACTCAATGGTACCTAATAACAGCAGTGTATGCAAATTAGAGGTCTCTGTGTAGTATAGCATAGCCGTAAGAATGGTATGTTGTTGTTAGGTGCTGTCGAGTTGTAGAGGACTCATAGCGACCCTATGAATGAAAGGTCTGAGCACTATTTGTACATAGAGTTTCCGGAGGCCAGACATTTCGGAAGTGGATGCCGCTCCTGCAGGGCTTTATTTTCTTGTTGAAGGAGTTGCTGTGACAACATCTAACAAGAGTCTGTACAAATGTACTACACTAACCCAAAGTTCTCACAGACTTTGGGCATGTTGTCAGGAGGGGCCAGTCCTTGGAAAAAAAGACATCATTCTGGGAAAGAAAGAGGGTCAGCAAAAGAGGACCAACTGCAAGGAGATGGATTAATGCAGTGTTTATAACAATGAGCTCCAGCGTGGTGGATATTGTAAGGATGGTACAGTGTAGGACAAGGTTCAGATCTGTTGTTCATCAGTCACACTGTGAGTCATCATTGTCAAAGGCAATGTACATGACAACCTGAAGCTTGGAGTTTCAAACCCCCCACCCCAGTAGCACCAAGGAAGAAAGACCTCGAAGAAGAAGAAAAGACCTCGAAATCCAAATCTGTAAAGATTTTAGCTAAGATTTTTTTTGAGCACTTCCACTTTAACCATACACAGACATGGTCAGAGTTATGTAAATGAAGTGTTACTTGAAAGAAGTAGACCATAAAGCTTGAGAAGTCATTTTAAAATTAATTGAAAAAATAATTACTTTGTTTGAGTAAAAGTTTACACAGCAAATTAGATTCTTGTTTAACAATGTACATACTGTTCAGTGTACTTGGTTACATTTTCCATATTGTGTCAATATTGTTACAATTTCCTTTTTGTCTGTTACCTTTTCTAGCTTTCCTGTTCTTCCCTCCCATCACCCTATCTTTGATTTAGGGTAACTGTTGATTAATGTTGATTGCTTGGTGATATATATACATATATATGCAGTCAAGTAAATATTTATTCAGCCTGCATTCTTTTCATGATCTCCACCACAGTCAAGCCCATCTGTTGCAGCCATTGTGTCAGTCTGCTTCATTGAAAATCTTCCTCTTTTTGGGTTAACCTTCTTCTTTTCCCAGTGTAGTATCTTTTATCGGGGACTGACTCCTTCTGACAACAAATCCAAGTGTGAAAGATGAAGTTTTACTCTCTTTGCCACTAAAAAGCACCCTGGTTGGACTTTCTCCAAAACAGGTTAGTTCTTTTTGGTTGTCGTTGTTGTTATTATGTGCAGTTGAGTCACCTGTGACTGAGCGACCCTATGTACAACAGTCCTAAACCCTGCTCTGTCCTGTGCCAATCTCACTGTCTCTGACAAACCTACCCCCATTACCCTGGTCACTGAATCAATCCACCTCATCAAGGGTCTTCCCCTCCTGCGCTGTCCCTCCACCCTCCCAAGCATGACTTCCTTCTCCAAGAACTGGTCCCTCCTTGCAACATGTCCAGAGTATGTTAGATGGAGCCTCAGAATCCTTGCCTGTAAAGGGCTGCCTGGTTTAACCCTTTACAAGGTGAATCTGTTTGTTTTCCTAGCAGTCCATGGTACCCTGAATACTCTTCTCCAGCACCACAGCTCAAAGGCATGAATCCTTCTTCTATCCTCCTTGGACATTGTCCAACTCTCTGATGCATAACAAGTGATAGCAAAGACCATGGCCTGTATCAGACGTATCTTAGTCTCCAGAGAGACACCATTGCTCTTCAGTACTTTGGAGAGGTCCCTAACAGCAGACTTTCCCATCGCAATACGTTTTTTCATTTCCTTGCTACTGGTGCCGAGAGTGTTGACCATGGAGCCAAGCAAACTAAAGCTGTGAACAATCTAAATCTCTTCACCATCCATTCTGATGCTGCCAATTGGTCCAGTGG